TGAGTGAGAGTGTCCCTACCATATTTTATGACATTTTTCATTTCTCTGTAAGATTCGGGCAAAGAGTTTAGCAATATGACAGCTAAATCCTTATCGTCAAATTTTTTATCATTATGAGCTAGAATCTTAACAATTATGCTAAAGTCACTCCAATTCCCCTCGACATCCTTCCCCGGGTCCATCTTAAAACTAAACAACTTTTCCAACAGGTATATTTTGTTAAGTAAAGTTTTAGTTAAGAACAATACATCTAAAGCAGTCCACAAAGTTCTAACAGTTTTAGCATTATCAACTTGTCTTTCAATGTTGTCAGATAGATGCAAAATTATAGAACTGTAAGCAATTTCATTCATGTGTTCAATTTCAGTTTGTTTAGCTTTTAACTCATCAGAAAATGTAGCGGGATTATCGAGAGCTTTAGCAACTCTCTGTTGGACCAAAATGGTTTAGTTAAGAACAATACATCTAAAGCAGTCCACAAAGTTCTAACAGTTTTAGCATTATCAACTTGTCTTTCAATGTTGTCAGATAGATGCAAAATTATAGAACTGTAAGCAATTTCATTCATGTGTTCAATTTCAGTTTGTTTAGCTTTTAACTCATCAGAAAATGTAGCGGGATTATCGAGAGCTTTAGCAACTCTCTGTTGGACCAAAATGGCCCTCATTTTCTGTTTTCATATCGAGTAATCCCCCTTTCCATCGAATTGCGATAATTCGACCCTCGAACCCATTACAGATTCTGTAAAAGAGTAGCCTGTACTCGTGGACATAACAGAAAAGGTTTTGAAATATTCTTTTCCAGATGATCAATATAAAAATATGAATGCCGAGTTAAAAACAATTTTTAGAAATGAAGCACAATAATGAAATAATCCGTTCACAAAACACAGGTATATAATGCAGGTAAATATGCTTTCAGGTTACAAATTAATCACAAGAATTCAATCAACGGAATTCACAAATAGGCAACCAAGCAATAATCATGCATAAACCGGTAAGGATACCAAACCTAACCTAACGTTAGATTTTCCAAATTCCTTCTGGTTTGGCGGGAAATCGCGTTTGAAGGTCTGATTTTCGCACTGATTTTGGACATCCTTTTTCTCCTGTTTTCTGTCGATTTTTCTGGTCTGTTTTCTGCTTTTTTCAACCTCAAAACCTCCACAACTTAGCTCTGATACCAGTTTGTTGGGATCTCCGAGTTCAATCAACAATAAACATCATTTAATCAAAGATTCCAAGACAAAAATGCAAGAAACATAAATCGAAAATACAACCCATTAATGGCCGAAAATCTGGACAGCAACTTCTCTTGTTTATGGCTGATTTTCAGGCTGAGGAACAACTCCCATGTCATGAAAATCACCTTCCAAAGAGAGAGCTAGAAAATCGACAAAGAACCTCCTTTGAAACCGCCACCACCTCACCCCTCTCTTCTACCAAGCTTTGAGAAACATCACAGTAAGGTGCAAATGGAGAGAGAAGTCTTGAGGAGGAGAGAGAGGGCCGATTATTTGGAGAGAAAGACTTGTTTTGCCAAAAACGTGAGAAAGCGCTATTTGGTGGAAAATAGTCAAAGCTTCTCACACAAGCTAAAGCAACAAAAAAATATTTCACATAGAATAAATCCCAGCCGTCGATCCCATCCAATGGTCCACAATAAAACTAGACAAGCACAATCTATGTGAATGACACAAATAGCACTTAAATCTAATGGAGTTAAGAGAACCATATTCTCACACTAAACAAGGCCGCAAATTTCAACATAACTCAATAAGAACAAAACTTATCGGATAGTGGCAGATTCTTCTTCAAGCCAATTACGAATATGGAGGACATTACAACGAAAAATGTCTGTTGAATGTTACACATTGCTCCTCAGTATAAGAACAACTGCACTCACTCGAGCTACTGTCAGTATGAAATTCGTCAAATCCATTTCATTAAACTGATTGATTTTCCTTCAACTTATAATTTATAGAAACTTTGAAATTTGGTTTGTTAATCTACTATGAGGATCAAACTATGATTCAATTTCTAGGGTTTTAGAGTGTTTACAATCAAGTGAACAAGTAAAACATACGCACCGATTTTACCCATCAAAAATTGTCTACATGCAAATAACCAAACATATAATATGTAATTCAAAATTCAATAACATTTGTCAGGTCAACATTAATCATAGTGGGAGTGCATATGTTATAACTCGTATCATAGTTCCAGCACCATTAAGTTGCTGACTTAATTGTTTATTTCTGCCACTATAGAAATTATTAAATCTACAGTAGCACTTTTAGGATTCAATCCCACTAAATTCATGTTTTCTTTTGCGGAGCAAAGCTAAGCAAAAAAGAATCAAGCAATCTTCAGCTAGTATAAAAAGCAACATAGTAAATCTTAAGAGGTAAATTAGAGGTTTCATATCATACAAACATAGTTTAAGGTCACGCATAATCAACACACAAATCACACAACATGACTCTAAATTGTTGAGAAAAATAGGTGATTTTTGTGTAAATAAATTATCAATTAATATAACTATTTTAACATAAACATAAGTAATGTCATTCAATAATAATACATATATAAGAAGAGAAGAGTTAGAAAAGCAAGCCTTACGGAGTCACGTCAAGAACGCTGTCCTAAAGTCGTGTCACCTCCCTTTCATGCGAATACTTTCGATACTATACAGCACAAAGATAAAATTCATGTGCCTCACAGTCGATTCTCCTTCAATTGACATGATCATAGGAAGATAAGTGAACGAACATCCACCAAGTTGTCAAAAATATAAGAATATAGTATGAATTGTATAGAATGTTTTTCTTCCCCACAATTAATTTAATATTATGAGTTTTAAATTTTTGCAAGTAAACCTGAAATTAAAAAGAAAAACTGAAAATGAATATGTTTTAGTTTTGAACGGATGAAACTTATTCTATACATACTCAATAGAATGGAACAAATTAGTTGTATGTCAAAGACAGAAGCAAATGGTGTGAAGATTAAGTAGTCTAATATGCATGTTGGTTAGTCAATCACAGTTACTTCAAAAATAAACTTGGAAACTAAAGTAGGTCAATGGACCTATAAATGATTTTGGAGATTTAACAAATGCACAACATCAATGAACAATGTTCATGAAAAATCCAAGAGGTCGTACAGTTATTTAGAAAGTTATTCATTTTAATGTATTAACTAATTAAAAATTAGAGTCGATTTGAACATTAGTCGAACTAGATGGTTGGTCTTCAGTCTCCCAATTCATGGAAGTCCTTCAAAATATGATATTTACATATTTTTGCCTATATTTTTAAATAATTATTAGATAAAAAAAATGAAACAAAAGGTAGCCCAAAACAACATCCAAGACGTTTCTTCATCCCTTCCACCCCCCCCACCCACCCCAATTCTTTTCCTAAAATTTAAAAATAATGCTATTTGCAGTCACTCACTATCTTAGTCGCCTTACATGGTATACACGTGACGGTTAATAATTTGTTACATAAGGCTTGGAGTTCTCATACAACATCAGTAAAAAACCTATTTTGAAAAAAAGAAATCAACAAAATACGAAAGTACAAAAATTAAACTCAAACTAAGAATCCTGTCGAGAACAAAATAACAATCAGAAAAATAATTTATAAATTGGTAATATTATAACAAAATAATAATTTTTTTAGTAACGGTGACAACTTCGGGTCAATTAGTACAGTATCGTTGGTGATTTCCAACACCACCACCAACGAAGTCGATAAATTTTATGTGCATGCATTGATGACTAGTAAGAGTATCGGTATTAGTAACTCCGTTCAAATCAAACATATAACGATTTCAATTAAAATCATCAACAACTATATCGTCTTTGGGACAAAAGTTTCATCCCTAATCATTTGCTCCATGAATTTTTTTTTATTATCCTTCTCAAAAAGTTCTCTTTGACATTTTTGTTTGAGACCTGAAATTCTTTGAACCGTCCCTACCAAAATAGATTTTATTCAGTTTAATTATTATAAAGTTATAACCCCTCTTTCCCTCAATCCCCCTAAAAAACGTGAGGAAAAGGGAAAAGAAACATAATCGTAGATGAATCGAAATCAAAATAAAATGATGATGAGTTCGGAATCTGATGAAGGAGCTAGAGGACTTGACTTGGAATACAAAGGTAATAATAGAAAGTGCAGAGGATAGGTGCCCGCCATTTAAGGCTTTATTAAGCCTAGCCTAGGGTTACCATTAGGAAATTGGGAAACGAGAAAAAATAAAAAAAGGCTTACACCCCTCTTAACTATGAAAACTACAGCTGAATGTAACAAAGCTAATCACCCCATGCACACGTCCTTTTCTCACTTCTCTCCCCAACCTCACCCCCTCTCTCAGACACACACAGACAAATCCATCGGGAATGGCAACCATACATTTCCCTCCTCACCGCCACCCCGACCCCCACCCCTACCCCCACTCCATTCAGATCCCAGAGTGTGTGTATACACAAAAATGATAGTTGTACAGGGGAAATGCACAGCAATAAAATTACTTGTATAAAGTTGGGTTACAAAAGTTGGATTACAAAATAGGTTGACAAAATCCAAGTTATTGAATTGAAATGATTTAAAAATCTATTTTTGAAATGATTGGTGTGGATATTATTTTGTCAACTAACTTTGTAACCCACCTTTGTAAATGTAGCATACCTCAAAAAGGAGCTTCACTAGTGCTAAGATAGCAGTATCGACAGTTTTAACTATATTTTTTGTCAAGAACCAAATATTGTCACGTGGCATTCTGTAAAATTTCCTGTAAATTTTTCATGTACGTGTAGCATTGTTCGTGTCTATAATATTTAAACATAAATTTTATATATACACAAGCAAGTTGTAGACCTTTCTATACATGTATATACATGAATAGTGAGAAATAAAAAAATAATACTAAACACTACTTTGTTGTTGTGTAAAATCAGCTGCTATATTAGTGGGCACCCACAAATACAATTCTCTTTCTCTTCATCTACTTCTTGTCTTTGATATCTAAAAAAACATTCAGAAAATCAGATCCAAGGTGGTTTATCTGTCAAAACCCACCTATATATAAATACCTTGATCAGTCAATCTATCAATCAATCAAATCATAACACAGGAAAATCATCGTCAAAGAGAAAGTTAAAGAAAAAATATGTCTTCTTCATCTGCTTTTACACCGGACCACCACCACCTCTCTCCTTCGGAGCAGCTCTGTTACGTCCATTGCAACTTTTGTGACACTGTCCTCGCGGTATAACATTTTTCATCCTCTACCCACGATCAACTATCACAGTCTATCCCTTCTTTTCGGGTGTTTATGTCAAGTTCTTTCAACCCTTTTTCTCGATGTTACTATAAATGCATTTTGAATGAGAGTTTATCTTATTTTTGTGCTCTTCTTAATTAACTAGGTGAGTGTTCCTTGCACGATTTTGTTCAAGACTGTGACTGTGCGATGCGGCCATTGCACCAACCTTCTGTCTGTGAACATGCGGGGAATGCTTCTACCCACTTCAAATCAGCTTCACTTTGGACACTCATTCTTCTCTCCTCAGAATCTTCTGGTATATGATCTGAAATCGTTAGGGTTTCCACATCTTAGTGCACTATTTATATTTTTAAGCATTTCAAATTTGATCTTCTATAGTTCATCTGTATATGAAATAGATTTAGGGCTTGAAATTTGCATAGTACTAATCTTGGAATTAATGTCATAAAATTAATCATTACCTTTTTACTTTGGAAATCAAGCTAGTTGTTGTTAATTTTTCACTCAATGTTATGTATTTTGCACTAATCAATAAGTTTTATATCCAGGAAGAGATTCGGAACTCGCCATCCAACTTGTTGATCAATCAGCCCAATCCCAATGAGTCTCTGATGCCAATTCGAGGAATAGAAGAGCTTCCTAAGCCTCCAGTTGCTAACAGACGTGAGATTATGAATACTACTTTTATTTCCCCCAATTATTGTCAGCAAATAGTGGATCTTTAATTGTTAAATCTTGAATATGTTGAAAACTTCCACTAGGGTTCATGTCTTTTTTCTTTGATTTTACCCTTTGAAAAAATTGGAATCTTTAAGTCATAGTCAAAACTTTCCCGTATACAGTATCTTCACATCTAAACAAGAAAGTAGAGCTTGTAAGAAATTCAGAAATTAAATTCTATTTTTATTCTTTAACAATCTTGAACTTTCATAAGAGAGATTTTCCAAATCTTGTCAAACCCTAAAATTCGGTAGAGAATTTTCCTTTCTCTTCTTGTAAGTTCTATAAATTTCCACAAGTTTTGTCTAACAATATTTCACCACTTCAGAAATTCATTAATAGCCACTGATTTTCTTTTGTTTTTCCTTTAATTTTTCTATTATTTATCCATTTAGAAGCATGAAATTTCTCCCCCGGAAATCAAGATAATGTGGGAACAGTAGAATCCAAGATGAGAAATGGAAAGATAGATCATTAGATAATGATGAAGTAATGAGAGATAAAGGGACAGAAAGTCAGCCAAGTTATTTAATGTCTTCTTTTGTTTGTTTGCTTGCATTTCTGTCATGTTCAGCACCGGAGAAGCGACAGAGAGTGCCATCTGCTTACAACCGGTTTATTAAGTAAGAAGTTACAATGTAATTATAAGTGCAAATACACCCACAACACCCCTCACCGGCCCCAACCCACCCACCCTCTAACCCAACTTGGGTGTTTCAGTAGGGGGTGGGGAGGGGTTTTTAATTGTTACAGCCTTATTATTACTTTAACAGTTTCTTTTGGTTCAATTAATGCCTATAAACAAATCTATGAAGCATCTAAGAATGATTTGGACTTGTATCATAAAATTGCAGGGACGAGATCCAACGTATCAAAGCCGGAAACCCAGATATAAGCCATAGGGAGGCCTTTAGCGCTGCTGCAAAGAATGTAAGATCCAAGAAGAAAACAATACCCTCTATCTCTTAGGGTTTCATTTTTGCTATGAAGTTTAACATTTTTGACAGAAAGTTGTTTTCTTTCTCACAGTGGGCCCACTTCCCACACATTCACTTTGGACTTATGCCTGATCAACCCGTGAAGAAAACTAATGTGTGCCAACAGGTATCTCAAAACCCTAGATGTATTTGGTCTAATTTTTACTACCCTCCAGTAATTACATGATACTTTATATGTTCACACAGAAAATTCAGCAATTCTTCAAACCTAAAAGTTCTAATAGAATGTTTTATACGGAGATCGAGTTAATACAAAAATAAGGAAGTTAAAAGTGTCCCCTGCTGCATACTAAGATGCAATAAATATTCTTAATTTTATACATGCGTTATTATTACCACCACCACCTCCTCATACACATCTCCACCGGGTGAAACTACCTTCGCCATGACCAATAACATGCGAAGGAGATTGTCCCCTTTGAGGTTGCAATTATTTTCTTCTTAAAAAATAATAAATCATTGTCATTAGTATTTTTTCTTGTTTTTAATAATTGTATTGTGTAGGAAGGAGAAGATGTTCTGATGAAAGATGGGTTTCTTGCTCCTGCCAACGTGGGCGTGTCTCCCTACTGAGAAAGTGAAGAAGCTGGTTGGATATTGCTCTCTTTGCTAATCAGTCTTTATATTTAGTTTCTGCAATTAGGGTTTAATGTCATGCTTTCTTTCGAGGAGACTTTCTTAGCTTCAAATGCTTGTGGTGGGAGAGGATTTTGATGTAAACTGTTTGCTAATGCTAAATACTAATCTCTCTGAAACCCATTTGACAATGAAACTTGTTTATGTATAATATTTCTCGTGGATTATACTATTAAATCAATATTTCCTCTATTTACATGATTTAGCTTATAATTTAAATCCCCCAAAATAAAAATAAAGCTTGTCGTATTTCCTAATTTTTAGTAAGTGGTAATGATATTAAAATTCAAGACTTGTAACTAATAATATGATGTTAAGCCCAGTTTGGGTTTGATAAAAATAAGATTTTTAGTAAATTTTGATAAAAATGAATGAAAATTGTCCCATGAAATGTATGATTAAAATTAATTGTTAACTTTGACTTAAATTTTTATCAATTATTTTAGCTAAATCAAACAATGGCTAAATATTATAATGAATAATCCTGTGTAATAGTTTTCAAGAAACTAGCTCCAATATGGTCTTATTCATAACGAGGCATTGAATTAATAAAACTCGTTTTTCATTTTCTTTTCCTAAGTTCCTCATCCAATTTATTGCTAAATACGTGTCATTAAGCTAATAATAAGCTCCTTGCCCAAGAAATATCTCGAACTGCACCTATTAAATCTTATTATCAGAATTATAATGGACAAAGGGATCAAAATGCTATTGTAGTGTCAAATTTCAAGGTAGGGTTTTCCTGCAGAAATGTTTTTGTCACAAATGGTAGTACGAGTCAGCATAAAGTGTCATATAAAGATTCAGTGAAGCAGGAACACCCAACACATAATACACTGCCATGGCAGTTTTTGATTTCATAAAATATTCAGAAATTAAAGACACCACAGATAAGGAGATAGAAAGTGAGGATTATCAGGTTCATTATGCAATTAAGCCTGTGTTTGTGTATAATTATTAGTAATTTATAAGTAGTAGTGGCGTGTTTGAAAGAATTTCAAAATGAAGTAATTACAAGACATAAACTGACCTTTGAATGAATTAAGACAAAAGTTACCATCAGATTAATCGTGCATTTTGGAATAAAAATTTCAAATTAGTTAGAAGGAAATTACGAGAAAAGAATTGGGGTTGGCTTCTCATTGGACAGCGTAGAATTTAAATTTGATTTATAATATGTCCCGTTCTACAGGAATTGAACTTATTAATTAGTGATATGGGTCATTTCTAAATATCAAAACTATAACCTATCATATTCGGGTTTTGGCCACTCATTTTAACAAAGTAATTTTCTTTTAAGGTGAAATTATAGATTTTAATATGATATTAGAGCCCAACAAGTTTAAAAAAGCAATTCGACCTGTCTACAAAAAACTAAAATGAGTAATAGAATTCTAAGTTTGAACTACTACTCTTAACAAAATTAACATTTTAAGTTTAAATTAAAATTCATTTTTCTCTTTCTTCTTCTTCACCAAACATTTTTCAATAAAATAATATTACACTTAAATTTAAAAATAAAATTCTTTATTTTTAACCACACATTCTTAAAAATAAAAATATTATTTCTTTCATTATAATTTGAAATAGGGAAAATCCATATATAAGAAACAAGGTTTAAACTTCAAAATCAGATTTTATTAAAATGTATTTACAAAATAATTAATTAAACATATATTTTATTAATTAAATATATTAAGATCACAATTCTATATAATTTAATCACAAATTATCGAATTAAATATATTATTAGAGTCCAACAAGCATGAACGATAAATTCAATATACCAAAATAAAGTTTAAATAAGTAATCAAATTTCAAGATTATTGTTCTCAAATGAACCGTTATCTTGTAGAGATATGTTAAAGGTAAGTCTCAATTGTAACCAACATATATGGGTTAAAATAAAACCTCAAATCTTAATAATTAGCATATTTCCAATGTCGAAGAGAAATAGGTAACCAACCTCTTTTGTGTCGCTATAACTAAAAATTTCCTCATTATTTGTATTTCGGCTTGTGAAGATAGTCATTGATTATCTTGAACCGAAATTTAGAGATCGTCGTTAATCTCATCCAATTAATATATATTTTGTTAGATGTAGTTGAGGTATTAGGTTTGAAAGATATTGTATGATTTCAAAATTTGTTTTTGCAGTTTTTAGTTTTTTGCTTTTCCTTTTTTTCAAAATTTTGAGTATTTAAGTAAAATTTTGCATTTTTTTTTTTGTTATATTTATAGTTTTCAATTTTTACTTCTCGGTTGTTTTTTTATACTTCCCAGAGGATTTTGATAAACCTAAACAAGTATTTGAATGATTATGAGGTTTGATTAATATATTCAAATGTCAGAGTTATGCCCACAAATTTAGACAAATTTAGACCCCCATTTGGTCCCCATTAAATTAAAATTCATTTTTCTCTTTCTTTTTCTTCACCATACATTTTTCAATAAAATAATATTACACTTAAATTTAAAAAAAAATCTTTATTTTTAACCACACATTCTTAAAAATAAAAATAAAAATATTATTTCTTTCATTATAATTTGAAATAGGGAAAATCCATATATAAGAAACAAGGTTTAAACTTCAAAATCAGATTTTATTAAAATGTATTTACAAAATAATTAATTAAACATATATTTTATTAATTAAATATATTAAGATCACAATTCTATATAATTTAATCACAAATTATCGAATTAATTGGTTATAAATTATTTCTCGATCACAATAAAAAATTTTATAGATCACAAATTATTTCATAATTATAAATTAAAAATTTTCTAGGCTACAATTTGTTCATCAGTCACAATTTGATCAAATTGAAAGGTCATATGTTATTCACTGGTCATAAATCACAAATTTTATAAGCCGCAATTTATTTTATGGCCATAAAACATCTAATTAATTAGTTATAAATTATTTTTTGTGACAACTTAACAAATTTTTAAGTCACACATTATTTATTGATTACAATACATCGATTTCATTGGTTACATATTATGTATTAGTCACACATTAACCAATTTATTGATCACAAACAAACAAATCATTTGTGATTGCCACTAGCCAAATTGTCATCGAAACACCACCATCTCCCGGCAGCAAAACCATCATCTCAAACACTGCAACCAAACACCACCGCCACCAGCCTACCACTCCACAACCACACCCTCGCCAAAAAAAATCCAAAAATCTGCAGTCGGGAGGTACCACCACAACTTGTATCAACAATAACCACCACCACTACTGTCTCTACCACCACCTCCAACAAACTATCATTTTCAACTTCAAAACCCCCCCCCCCACCGCCAACAACAAGATCCAACACTATTATCTAAAAGCCAGATCTCAGGCATACCAATCGCCTCCCAAACATAAACAAAACTGTCAACATTACCACAACTATCAACAACACCACTGCCACCAACAAGATACAGCAAAATTGCCGCTACATCCGCCCAAGAAATACTAGCAAATCACATCTACAAATGCCATCACCACAACGCCATTACCAGAACGCTGTTGTATTGTGCGGTTGTGCTCAAATCATATCAGATCCAAAACCAGAATGCTGCCGCAAACGCGCTCCTCACCGAAAAATCACAAAAATCTCACTCGACGCTACTTTTAGATCAAAAGCCAAAAGGCCGTTCATCGCAAGTTCACAGCAACCAGGAGCTGCCACAAAGCAACTACCTCGCTTGCAATCTTCGCGCTGACAAGAGGTAGAGAGTCAGAGAGATGCAAGGAGTTAGATGGGAACATCAAAGAACACATGGTTGCTGGAAATTAATTAATTTTATTATTAATGTTGAATTAATATCTGTAATTTCCACATTGAAATAATGACGCTCAAACGGGGGTTATGGTCGTCAACCAATCGAGATGGTCCATGAAGAAATCAAAAACTGTACGAGAAAAAAATTGTACTATTGTCACGTTTATAAAAAAGAATTAAATGATTTATTACTTGTGTTATAAAAATGTCAAAAAATAAAAATTTATTTATTAAATCAATCACTTTTAGTCCAGTGGAGGTATCATTTATCTGAATTAAAATTTTGAACCAAGATAATAATACAAGAATATAAAAGTTACAAATAAAACAGTTCAGAAACGAGAAAATACAACAAAATAAGATATTGGAAAACAATTACTCCAACTTGAATATACGACCAATTAAGATTAAATAAAAGTAGAAAATGAATTCTGCAAGATATAATAGACAAAATGTAAGCAACTTCCACTTTTTACTTTTTAATATTTCCCCATTGCTATTTATTTTTAATACAATTAAGTCAAATGCTATTTCTATTTCTACTATTTAATTATTTTCCCATTGCCGCTGAATGTTAATAATTTTTGGTGGAATATTTATTAAACAAAAACAAAAATACGAACTTTGGAGTGTGTATGACGGACCCTCAGCCAGCAGAATATGGATCAAAATACTTAATCAATCGAGAATACTGGGAGCTTAGAAGTTACAAAAAAAATATAGACTTTTTATCTTATGAGCATTTTTCAAGCTTCTTGTCACCATAATGTTAATATATTTACAGAAATTTATCAATTTTCACTTGCATATAATGTTTTCCAGTGTCAAAACTCTGGCTTGAGAAACAATGACGTTTAAAAAAGAACGAATCATTCTAATTTTCTTTCACACTATGAAGACAAACATAATCGTCATAATTAACATAATATGTGAGTGTCTCAAATTATAAAATCATGTTTATACTAATAGAGGAGTACAAAATATCAATATTAATTAAATCTAACCACATTGAATTAGAGAATATGATTAAGATGGAATATAATAATTAAGTGAGGACCGTATTAAGCCGACGTTTTAGAATAGTATTTTTTTTTTTTTTTTTAACAATGTACAGTTAAAAATGAGGAAAATGTTTGAGTTTAACTGAAAAATATTTCATTGTGTGAATGTATAGTTGAAAATAAATATGAGATTTAACTGAAAAATATTTTATTGTGTGAATGTATAGTTGAAAATAAGTATGAGAAATAAATTATTTTGATTTAAAGGAGTCAAAAGTGGATTTGGAGACATTTTTCTAATATTGCATTTTGTGTTGCGCCATGATGGAAACCCATACAAGCAATGCAAAATTGAAAATAAAATAAAATAAAATAAAATAATAATAATAATAATAATAATAATAAT